AAACATCTGAACAATATGTACAAATCTATTTTTAGTTTTTACCTATCCTAAAATTCAAAATATTTATCATGGTTGAGGTGTAAATGTTAATTGTCAAAACACATAAAAACATCATATATTTTAACAATTTACACTATACAACAGTACCATCGTTTAAACCCTTAGAGCTTGGCCAATAACATCGTTCTTGAATTGATTTCAATTCAAGTGCACCCAAATGACTTGTACAACACCCATCACATACATCAAACTGTGACTCAAAGATAAAAGCAAGCAGGGAGTGCAATCATGACGGCATCAATGACTAGACCTCAGTTTTATTGATTAAATTACCAATACGTATATCTATTACAACTGTTAAAGAGAATAAAGGGATTGCATTACTAGAATATTTAATGACCATGAAATACAATGCTGAACATATTCCATTCCTTTAAAGACAAAGGAAATTGAAAACAAAATGTGTGACAAATGTGATGCGCGTTTTTGTCTCTTGATATGCTTATAATAATTAGATGTTTTTAACTCTGCAGAAAACTCAATTACCTTTTTTATGTGCTAGATAATGTTTGAAACAAACACTTAATTATATCAAAAGTACAACAAGAATACTTACTCCGGAATCAAGAATATTTGGGTTTGTCCCGTCTAATCCGTAGATACAAACACTTTTTTACAGTTACAGCTTGCAACAGGTTGACTAATTTATTGTGACCGATAATGTACTGCATAGCTATCAAGACGGTAAAAATGTGTTTGTTATTACGGATTAACTGGAAAAACACATTTGCCGAGTTCCGGATAACATCTATTACTTAATAAATTAATACTTAAGACATAAAGATATAAAGTTACTTACCTACGACGGTAGGTTCGAGATCCACAAAGACGGCTCTAGGAACATGTTTACCAGCTCCGGTTTCACTGAAGAACGTGTTGAAAGAATCATCTCCACCACCAATAGTTTTATCACTTGGCATCTGACCGTCGGGCTGAATACCGTGCTCCAGACAATACAGCTCCCAACAGGCGTTGCCCATCTGGCACCCGGCCTGACCAACATGTACTGATATACATTCACGCTGAAAACAAAATCGTATAAAACTTGTTTGCTAACATGATTTTTCTACAGTTAATTATGCAGACAAAGATTAAATCGCAAACGTTAATTTAGTTATAGTGCGTTTTCTGACACCCAATACAACCTTTTTATCTATTTCTTATATTTTAAGATGATAATTATGAATCAAGCGTATTAACCGTAGACAAAAAAACAAAGGTTAGGGCTTCTTTTATTGTATTTTCTTAGAATTTGTCCTTGCAGCATATAGAGATTACAATGTCACCTAACTAAAAGAGACAAGTGTGATACCTATATTTTTTATACTGACTTAACACTGTATTATTTTCATCATCTTATTAGGTTATATATCAGTCGCTTTAGCAACAATCAATGAAAGTCGATAGAGATTCTTGCACCATGTCAAGCGAATGTATTCGAGTCAAATTTACAGAGCTTTTTGTAAAATATTTCTCAGAGTATTATGATTCATGAAATCGAATTTAATTGTCTCTAACATCGGAAAACCCTTGCTCCGACAACTGCAGTATTTTGTCATGCGCAATATGATTCAATGTGCAGATGTTTTAAAGTAATCGATACTGTCTGTTCTAATAGTGATCCCTTCTTGTCTGTGCATGACTCATATAACTATTGATATACAAACCTGTATTTATTTATCGTTTATTTTCCCTTGTGGCAACCAATATCATACATTAGTAATATGTTGTTGGAAAAAAGCTTTCATGCATATCACATTGCTAATAAAACGACATCTCTTCTTTTTTTATTTCGAATAATTCGGAAATTTTAAATTAAAATTTCAGTCAGTAACGCTCTTAAAGAATGTGAAAGATGCGGTCACTTAAATTATGAAAGCAGTGTCACAGTTTGTCATGAATAATATATATTCATAGATTTTTTTTTATAATAGTTTAAACATGGTGCAATGATAACACATACTGGTTGCACTTCTTTCAAATTCAGAAAGTCCATACATTGTCAAAATATTGAAAACTATATAATAAAAAAGTGTCATAATAATGAAAAATATATAATTAAGAAATATTTTAGAAGTTCCAAGATGGTAGATATCTGAATATCGCTCAATAATAATCTAGTCATCTAGTTACACGAACTGATTAAATACTGTTTTCGTGAAAATATATAACTGAAAAAATATACACATCTTTGAGAGTATTGACAAACAAAGAAAAAAAAGCACAGAAAAAAAAAACCACTTACCATTTTGAGCAATATGTTATTCTGTTCCACTCGACTTTATGGCGTTGCGGAGACAAATTATTTGTTTTGTTGTTAGTGCGCGCGCGGTTTTATAGCGTTCGTTGTCATGACTGGACCGCCGTGTGTCTGATATATAGTGCACGCCAATGACTGCGAGGCTATCCAATAAATTTGATTTCCCTGCAGAACCACGTTTTGTTTAAGGCAAAAAAACAAGCATTTGTCTTACATGTCTGTTCTATTTGATATTTTATATAACTCATATGGCTACTTTCCAGCATTTTAGTGTTATTTGCATTGGAACACATTCGATGTCATTCTGCGTTGGTTTAAACGCAAAAAGAATCCGCCAAGGGTAAATTATTCATTGTCCTTCAAGGGGTTTGGACTAAATGTAAAAATGAACATTTTGTGTAAGTCGGTGTACTTAGGTACAGCTGTAACTTAATTAAGATGCTCTCCTATATGGGTTAAGAAGATCAATCTGTGTCATTTTCATGGTTGAAAACAAAAGCAAGAATATCTCAGGATGAAAGTTCCTGTAAGAATTGCCTCCATATTTTTTCCTGCATGCAGCAGTTGATTTACGTTTTGTACTTTTGTTCTTGAAAAAGGACTGAAATTTGAAAAAATATTCAAGTGAAAAGATTCAAAAGCACATTATGCCTCAGAAATCAATTTTTTTTTATTCTTTAGAAAGGTCTTATATGTGTTTAATAATATTTTAACAATGGATTAACAGCATGTTAGATGTAAAACAACTTAAGAATGCAGCATTGGTAGCGCAGTTATATGTCGTAAAGGTAGCAAAAAATAAACAAAGTACTATTTTGACTTTCATACAAAGTACTGTATCATCTTATTTAAATCCATTGACAAAGTTCAGAAGATGCACTTCTGATAGACAATAATGGTAGATAAGGAAATATGTTCTAATACTATAACATGAATGCACAACTCAGTTTATTATAAATGCGCAGAAAATCATGCAAAAAGGGGCACCTGAAGTCTTCCTCCACTTGTAAAAATGGAAAGTAGCCATATGACCTTACAATTTGTTGGTGCAACAAAAATCATTATTGTAATTCAACACAATAAGATACATTTACAAGTTATGTATTCATGTACATGTATATACTAGATCAATTCATCGCCTATAACATAATTACAGTTCAGTGTCAAATTATGCAAGATGTTAACGGTCTTTTGTTAGGAACATAGATTAATTATTTGTGCAAGAACTTGATTATTTTGTGATAGAATTTGACTATTGTATTATCAATTTCAGCCAGGATGATTACTTATGTATAATAAAAAGATAAAAGACTTTTTAAGTAATACAAAATAATCATGTGTTCAGGTCATATCTATACAAAATAATTACATTGTATGTAACTTACAGTATATCATAAGTACAGATATAAACACAACATTCGCGCACTTTTTCTATCATACAAATTCATTATAACATGGTTAATGAAGAAAATTGCATACAGCGGATTTTCATATCATACATGTATATACAACAACATATGTTCTGATATTTAAACTATGAGTGTTATTACCGCTTGACCTGTCAGCTATTGTGCTATCATGTTTTATAATTGTGATATATTAACGACTGTTGGTTATTTTTGTTCGAAAGTATAGGATAGAATTTTTATTAATGCAACAGCATTCGTTGCCTGGCCGCCGGTTATACCTGACTGAACAATTTCAAAGGACTATAATTTCATTGTGATATTGATTTTCTTGTGATCATCACATACATGTATATACCTTTCTGTAAGTATCTGCAAGAACAGTCAATGTTTGAAATCGATGCTGTATAATGTCCATCCATCATAAATTAAGGAACACAAAATCCATCAAGAATTGTAATGAATAAATAATATCAATCAATATCAATCAGCAATCAGCAATCAATATCGTGTACATTTATACAAGTAGGCATTAAAGTTACTTTTATTGTGCCCTTTATATAAATTTCATTTAATCGTAACCTCATAATTCGACAATCCGTATTTATCAGTTTAAAAAATCTATGATCGATTAATATAGTCTTTGTATACTTTATACATTGGTAAAAATCATATTTATATACATGAGCAAAAATAGGATAGTCTATTTAGATCAACAGAGAAACATTATTTACCAAGGGATGTTTTAAATGTTGATGCAATTAAAGATATTTCCCTTGGATAGGATATTTGCATTGAACCTTGTTGTTATTAAAACTGTATTATTAGAATTTTTTTTTTTCCAAATCGGGCTAAGCGTTAAATTACTTCTAATTACTTCCAGTCATTCACTTAACATTAGCCCATACATGCAATTGCCGCATACATTATATATGACTCTTACTCAAATCAGCAAAATCTGAAAAGACATATGATCTACATGATTGACATTTCAATGTATTGAATGAAAATATAGTACTAGGTATTCTTATTCGTTGCAAAAGCCAAAACAAATATTTGTAACCATTTTCAAAAAGTAATGACGAAAAGAGGTACATGTCACGCCACCTAATGTAACTATGTCTAAATGATTTAATGTGGTACAACGATTGTTGGTATATTATAACATAATCAGTATATACCAGCTATGTGACTAAAATTTCTGTGATAGTTTGGCTTCCGCTTAAGAAACATCTTTGGGTTCTTTACTATTTGATCACATTTGCGTTGGGTTAGTTAATTTGTAAATAACTCTTCAAAAGAAAGACACGTCAGAAATTGATTCATTTTCTGTATTTTTTGTTTAGTCTAAAGCAGTGCATTAAAATAGTTTGACAATATGCAGGGCATGTATAGTATGCGGAGTCCAGGTATTTATCAATATGTGCTCACTAACTTACGAATTATTACAAACCGGAAGTCAACTATGGTAGTTTTCGGATAGTCAGAGTTGACTCTTTTTTTTTTCTTACTAAAAAATGTGACCTTTAAGTCTGAAATATGACAATAATTAACAATTATGTGAATGTTCCCGACATCATGCTGAATACGTTAGTTTTAATCATAGATTCAAAGTCTGTAAATCACGAGCCAAATATCCTCTGTAAATTATAGTGGGATTTTTCAGAGACACTTTCACTTTCACTATAGTGTTTCCCACCTAACTAGAGGTGTACTGGTAAGAAATCCAGGTAATTCTCGCATGTATCAGTGCTATACACTTGGCATATAAAAGAACCAAGGGGTCTATTCAATAAGAGCTAGAGACTGCACTAACAAAGTTTGCACTCTTACCCTATGCTACGACCGGATGTAAACAATACCTTCGCACAGAGCATGCGCGGTGGTTAAATCCCACCTATTTTATTCGATTAAATTCTAGAACAACCACTACTTTCGGTTTCAATTTTGCTGACAAGGAACAGTTTGAATCAACGTAAGCGTTAATTTTAATTGCAATGTCCAAAACTTTGCACTACATGGCGTAATTTTCATTACATATCAGTATTATCACTGTCATAATAGTTTTTATTCCAGTCGGTCCAAATGACGGTACACATTTACATTTACATGTGAACAAACATATTTAACTTCTTAGACAATTTAAATAAGGAATGGACACACGGTAAACTCTGTTGCAACGTAAAGTATATTCATAAACCTGTTTGAGAAAAATTGTCTCCGTGTTCAAATAAATTTCAAAAATGGGAACAAAAGCAGTCTTTTACCGATACCCTGCAATAGAATCTTATTATTCTGACGAATTAAATTGACTTTATAACGCTTGTATACAATTATTGATTGATCGATTTTCATTATATTTATTTTGTAATACCTATTATTCAGTATGCAATCAAACAAAACCAAGTTTTCCTACATTCAAGGAAACTGTAAGTTAGAACGAGCTTTCAAAATGAACAGGTAGCAATTTCCAACATGCTTACCGAAACTCCAACATGGCGGCTTAACGTGGCTCATTTGCATAATTTATTCATAAACGCAGGAGCATAGAACTTTGTTAGTGGACTGGTTCCCGCCAAATCCTGGATTCCCTTGTATCTCATAGCTGTCTCTGAAGTGACTGGTCTAGAGTCATGTCTACATCATCGCGAGGGGTTTGAAAGATATTAGATAGAAACAGTAGCTTCCCTGATGATCTTCCTGAAATCTGTACTAAAATCAAATAAAAATATTGAAAATATCTTTTAGAATTGATCAGTATTGATGATTGGTCAATGACCATTAATAATATTATTACTTTATAACAGGCAAATTTTGAAATATACATTTGTATTACTGATTCACCTAAACAAGATAATCTAATGAAAAAAAAATGAGCATGTCACTTAAAGCTCTGCAAAAATTAAAGTATTAAAGGGACTCCACTGAGGTTTAAAAGCCTAAAACCATAACATTTGAATTTATTACATAAATGAGCTGCGACACTTTAAACAGAAATGTATAGTGAATAGAGTTAAGCAATATACTTTAAAATAAATAGAAAATCGTATTTTTATGCCTTTTTAGCCGGATTTGAGTGAAAAGCGTTTAAACGCTTTTCATTTTGGGTCATTTCATACAATTTGAATAGTTACCCTGGAAAAACAAAGTGTGCAAATGGTCTGAAATTTTGCATAAAGATAAGTGGTCTTAACCTACATCAAATAGTACATTTATCTGGAAAAAATATTTTCAGTCCCATCATGTCAAAAAACCTCAGTGGAGTCCCTTTAAAATTTATGTAAACTGTTATTCATTTTACTAATAATTATTATTTTCTTAAAGCTGTTAAAAGGTTGATGAAGGAGGCTCAAGAACTGAGGGAACCAACAGAACAATATGCTTGCCAACCTTTGGAGGTATATTTTTGACACATTTTTTATATGTATGTTAAGAGATTTTATCACAAACATACAAATGAATTTAAACAGAGGAGATAGAGATGGTTTTAATTTTTAAGAGTAATGTTTAATTAATTATGGTGGTTTTGGCAAACAACAGGTATTGTGAACTTAATTTATGAAGAGGTGCCAAAGTGGTTTTGTTGATCTTTATTTATCTTATGTTATATAGTAATTAAAGTCAGTGTACTTGGTTCATTGATATATAAAGTGTTTTACCATCAATATGCTTTTTAAAACTAAATTATGACGCAAATATCATTAAATATGATTAATGACCATGAAAAATATGGTACAAGTAGGCTACTGTTTATATTTTACTTATTAAAATGAAAATAATAAATAAAATTATTGAATGAAATTATCGTTTAAATCTTCAAAGACCTTGTCTATAATTGCATGAAAATGCTTGAAAAACTACAAATTAACACCCACAATAATTGATGTGCCCAGTATACAATAGATAATCATATTTTTAACACTGTAAATTAAGTTTGCCGGAATAACAACCTATTTTATTATATAAGATAAGTGTGCCGAACCGGTAGTTCGACAAAACCACTTTCACCCTTATTTAATCACTATCAATATCTATCCTCAAAAAGGTTTGGCAATGATTCCTGTAAAATGCTTTAATAAACATTTTGGATGACAATGTCTCTTAATAATATTATAATTAAATCATTGTTTATCATTTTCTACCATTTGAAAATATTAAGTTATTTAAATACAGGTAAATACTTGTAGACTGCTTCAAAATTTTCATAAGGAGAATTGTATTCCTATATTTGCTTTTAGTTTTACATAGTGATAAAAATGTTAAGACTGTCACTTGACTGCAAAATTAAATGAACTGACTTTTTAAAAACCTCTAATTCTTATCTGCTATAACAAGGTTACTTGAGCCTTATCTCGTAATCTAGATCCAATCCAGTTTAACTAATCTGTCATAATGTTGTATGATTTCAGGATAACTTGTTTGAGTGGCATTTCACTATTCGTGGACCAGCAGATTCAGAATTTGATGGAGGGCTGTATCATGGTAGAATTATTTTGCCTCCAGAGTATCCCATGAAACCACCTAGCATCATTATACTTACAGTAAGTTTAGATGGTTTTGCTTTACATTTGGTATTTTATATAACTTAAAACCCTATTATAATTTTATATATTATATTATATATGTTATAACTTAATGCTAGGTTGACTGACATCAGATTTCTGTATCAGAATCTGTTGACAACTTATTTAGATTTAAGCTCAGATTCTTATGTCAGTTGTCTCAATTTTAATTTCATAAGAAAAGTTGGTATTCTTTGTATAGACTATATACTGTAAAGGATATTAAATTTTGTTTGTTTGTGAGTAAGATAAAATTTTATTTCATCAAGTGAGCATTAAAAACAGTATTCTCACAAGAGATGTATACACACAAACAAACAAATTTTCTTTTTATTTTATGCTTAGAAACTCAAAAGCATAAAATAAACCTGTATCTTTGTAACCCACTCAAAAGCATAAAATAAACCTGTATCTTTGTAACCCACTCAAAAGCATAAAATAAAACTGTCTCTTTGTCTTTATATATAATTATTCAGGATTATTAAAGACAGACTGATTGTTTATTACAATTCTACTCATTCTTATATTTTTGATAATTTTTTAAATGAAAATTAATAAGAATTGATGCTGTGTATAAAGTATTAGATAAGTATTTTTAACTGTTCATATATAAGATATATTTGTTACTCACATACAATAAAACCATGATAAAGATTTAAATCTGATTTCAATAATGTATAAATGTAGAGCAAAAATAGATGAATGATGAGTAATTAACAAGGTTGTACATGTACTATTATTTTACTTTTAATAGTTTTCAATTACTAATATTATATTTCACTTTTAATTTTTAGCCGAATGGGAGATTTGAGGTGAACAAGAAGATATGTTTAAGTATATCAGGTCATCACCCAGAGTCATGGCAACCATCCTGGTCATGTATGTATTATTGTACTTATTCCTCTCACATTATTTCTTTAGAACTTTGATATCGTTCATTCATGAACATTTAAACTAATGAAATCTCCGTTCAGCTTTTTAATGCATAAGTTTGTTTTTGTTATTTTTTTTTTTTTTAATTAAAACCATCATACTTTCTACATGTATCAGATAAACAATACATGTTATGAATGGACAGGCAACAGCCAGGTTGAATGGAAAGATTACTACCAAATGCCACCATAAAAAAGCAGTCTATATCTCAAAATTAAATCTGCATCGTCCATTTAATTCTGAAAATTTTAAGTTTTTTTAAGAATAGAACTCGATTGATACCTTGACCAGAAATTTTCTTAATAATGGATTGGCATTCTTAATAATGATAGGCATTCTTAATAATGATTTGCATTCTTAATAATGTTAGGCATTCTTAATAATGATAGGCATTCTTAATAATGATAGGCGTTCTTAATAATGATAGGCGTCCTTTATAATGATAGGCGTTCTTAATTATGATAGGCATTCTTAATAATGATTCGCATTCTTAATAATAATTCGCATTCTTAATAATGATAGGCATTCTTAATAATGATAGGCATTCTTAATAATGATAGGCATCCTTAATAATGATAGGCATTCTTAATAATGATAGGCGTTCTTAATAATGGGTTGGCATTCTTAATAGTGATAGGCGTTCTTAATAATGATAGGCGTTCTTAATAATGATAGACATTCTTAATAATGATAGGCATTCTTAATAACGATAGGCATCCTTAATAATGATAGGCATTTTTAATTATGATAGGCATTCTTAATAATGATAGGCATTCTTAATAATGACAGGCATTCTTAATAATGATAAGCGTTCTTAATAATGATTCGCATTCTTAAAAATGATAGGCATTCTTAATAATAATAGGCGTTCTTAATAATGATAGGCGTCCTTTATAATGATAGGCATTCTTAATAATGATAGGCATTCTTAATATTGATAGGCGTTCTTAATAATGATAGGTGTTCTTTATAATGATAGGTATTCTTTATAATAATAGGCATTCTAAATAATGATAGGCATTCTTATTAATGATAGGCATTCTTAATAATGATGGGCGTTCTTAATAATGATAGGCATTCTTAATAATGATAGGCATTCTTAATAATGATAGGCATTCTTAAAAATGATAGGCATTCTTAATAATGATAGGCATTCTTAATAATGATTTGCATTCTTAAAAATGATAGGCATTCTTAATAATGATAGGCGTTCTTAAAAATGATTTGCATTTTTAATTATGATAGGCGTTCTAAATAATGGATAGTAAGCATAGGAACAGTTTAATTAAATGCTTGTTTTGAAATTAATGATTCAATCATAATTTGTTGGTATCAGCACATAAAATTGGTGCTCATAAAGTGGTTTAAAGGCCCATTATGCAACAGAAATGCTATCATTTTAAATGATAAAAAACCTTCTTATTTTTGCTATCTTGTTCAAAATTCCAAAAACATACTCATTTTTCATACACATGAATTATCATTTGGCTGCTTTAGCTCTGTTGGCATTTGGTATAATTATAGTGACTTAGTATTTTGTATGGAAGTCAAAATACTACTTTGTTTACACAACACATTACTTCACATTCTGTCCTACTTTCTTCAGTTGTTAAGCATTTAATATGCTCTTAATCCATTATTTCATGATTTTCAAACATTTTTGACAATTCTAAATAATTAAGAAATAAGGATTTCCAAGGCATAATGTGATTTAAGTTTTTATTCTTGTATAATTATAATAATTTCAGTAAGAACTGCATTACTAGCTATAATAGGGTTTATGCCGACTCATGGTGCTGGAGCTCTCGGCTCTTTAGACTACTCTCCGGATGAGAGAAAAATTCTTGCTAAAAGGTGAATATATTCATGTCAATATCTTTGTAATATGAAATTTACAAGTATATAAGTCATGATGTGGTTAGTGCTTTAATTGATAGTTACAAATAGTAAGACAGTAACAGTAGATAGTCAGTTATTGTTAAACATAAGTTTTAAGCTTGTATCTGACAAATAAATAAAAAAAAATCCATTCCTTTTTATTTGTATGCCAATTTTGATGATTTTCTCAAAATTAATTTATAAAATAGCCTTATTGCAACACCAAATGTATATAATATATTATTAATATGTGTGCTTCAAAGTTTTGTCATCGTATTTTATGTACTGTGAAATTTTGTATGAAGAGAAAATTGTATGCAGAAGTCTACATATTGTATTTTCTACATTTATCAGGTCACAAGATTATAATTGTCCGTCATGTGGTTGTATTAAGAATGTATTGAAGGAGGTGACGGAGGAATCCAAGAAAACAACAGAGGAAGCTCGGGAACTGGCGGCACAAATCAGTTTTAAGGTCAGTTACTGTAACGTTTATATATTTTATAAACACTATTCACTTAAGATTTAGATTTGTATTTTTGTTTTTGACAAAGTAACAGTTATATAGGAAGTGAATGAAATGTTTTAACCTGTTGTTTTTAGGTAACTTTCAAAGATTTATCTGTTCAGTAAGTAGGATGAAAGGCTGCAGATATATTTCCACTTAACATTTTACAAGTACATGTAATAAAAACATTTTACAGGTAATAGAAAGAGCATCGAAACACAAGCTATCTGATTTGTACTAGGGGCCGTAGCCGAGTGTTTTGATGTTCTTTCCTTTTGTATCATAGGCACAATTAAAAACACCTTCCCTGTTGTCACGATATTAAACCCTAGAGAAAAAAATAACTAATGTACGTGCATCTTAATGTGACTTTTATCGTTATCCCTTTCCTTGTCGTCACAATAAGTAAATCCCAGAAAAAATGAGCCAATCAACGAGCATGTTGTAGACAGACAGTACACCGAGTGTGGGTAACTAATACCTGCACTCCAGTTAATGCACTGTGCATGTATTGGTATAGGATTTAACATGGTATCAATAGTAAAGTCTCCAATCTATGATACAAGATAACAATGTTTTAAACTCATGAATCATCTGAATGTGTAGACAAACACTTCAAGTTGTCCCAGTTATTGGACTTTTTATTGGTTAGCATAGAGAAAGGATATTAGATTCAGTCATCAGGAATTACATGTACTTTACTTTAAAAATTGCTACATATTTTACAATCATGGCAGATGCAGATTGTTTTGAATTAAAATTTTAATTGTGTTATAAAAACATGATAGTAAAATATAGTTTTGTATTATAATCTGTATATAGGATGAGAAAGAGAAAAATGCAGCATTGAAGTCAACTACTGAAACATCACCAACAGCTGAACAGGTAACACCAGTAGCAGACGACACATCTGGAAATGGAGCGACAGCATCACCGTCTGCTGTACCCCAACCTGGTATGACATCACAACAATTTGGTCAGTTTCCTTTCAGAATGCCATTTTTCCCTCCATTTCCACAGATGAACTCACAGTTTGCAAATACTGGAGTTAATACTGCCACACAAGTTCCTAGATTTCCTCTGCCATTTGTTTCACCATTCTATCCACCAATGATGCAGCCAGGAACATTTCCTATGCCTCCCATGATGCCTGGCATGCAGGTGCCTCCATGGCAACATAATACAAACATAACACAACCACAGAGTCCTGCGTCTGCTGCAGTACCACCTAGGGAGACTACTCCAACAAATATAGGCAGTTCTACAGGTCAAGTCAATAATTCTGACAATCAAACCTCTAATATTGAAATTCCGAGTCCAGCAAATTCTACAACACAAAATGATGAAAATTCCTCTACAAGTGAAACACCCCTCACAAGTCAGGATGGACTCCGCCACAGAAATGTTGCCTCAGCAAGTCATACATCGACGAGTCATACCCATTCACATCACAGGAGGTTTGAAGCAGCCAGCACTGAGAACAGAGAGGATCAACGGGTTGACAGATTATTACTTCTGTTTGCTGCGTTTGTTGTTATTGTAATAGCATTGTTGTTAATAAGAAGACTTTATATAATGAAGCTTATACAGTTTCCTCTATAAGGCTGAATAACATAGAAAACATACACTAAGTTAAACATAATATAGATAATGATGTACATAGAACAGTTGTAAACTGTTCATTACTGGACCAAAACAGACTAAGAGAAAATAGAAAATGATCTTTACAGTTGTAGTAGGACTACTTTTTCAAAAGGTTTTATTACAAAGAATTTATAATGGTACTAGGATTTTTTTCTTATTTTGTCTATTTTTGTGCAATAACTGTTTTATATTGGATATAGTACTTTCCATTTATAAAGATTAGTTTGAGATAATAGCTTCATATAAGGATAACAATATAGGTATATGTGCCTTGGACAGATAAGTATATAGGTCTTGACTGATAAGTCTATGAGTTTTATGGATCATTTTGAGGATTTTGTTAACATCAGACTTTATCATTAATGTCACGGAACTGCCATCAACTTTTCAACAGATTTATGTGGAGAAAATTGCGTAAGGAAAAAACATTTATAATATAACATGTATTGCTAAAATGTATACAATATGTGGGTTTTTGCAATGACTATAAATATCTCTGTTAATTTACTATTCTGCAATCATATTTAGTTTATAAAAAAATATTTTAGTTTGATAGTGTTGGAAGCTATAAGCCTATTGAAACACTCATGAATCCGTTCCTGGAACCAACCAGTTAATCACATTTGGTGTAATATGAAAGTCTTTTGCCAAAATATTGATACATTGTAATGTTTTTATGTTAGATGCACATGTATGTACACAGATATTGAATGAGTTTAGGTTCAATAACTAAATATATTTAAAGTGTTGAATAAAATCATATTATGATGAGTTCAATATCTTAAGTTTTGAATTTACATGTTTAGTATAAGCTTGCCTTTTTGCTATGTTTATGTAAAGCAAATTATGTTGCATTACATAGTTATTATACTAAGTGTAATATCCTTTTTATAACATGACTTAATTATACTCTTGCACCATGATTTATGTGACAAACTCCTTTAATCGTCCTTCTTTTTCTTGTTTTGGGTATAAGATTTGGCAGCATCTGTCATTTTCAACAACAAACTAGTTCACATTAATTTTGTTTATGCTAGTAATTAAATGCTTGGTCACATCACTAATGAGCCAAAATGTAAAACTTGACTCGAGGTATCTATAAAAGAATTCCAATAAAGAAATATACTCATAACTTCTGTATAGCCCTAGGCCTGGATACATGTGCTGCATTTTGAATGTTTTAGAATGATTATATTTTTGAAAATTTATGAAGAATGAAATAGATATACACTTCATGAAAATTGTAAGTCTTCTAATTTTCAAACTTGCGGGGTAAATCTGTCATAATATATGACTGTTCAATATTGAAAATTTCTATTAATTTTTCTGTCATTGGTTAGAATGATTTTTAAGCATAGTCAACAACCCAAATCCAAACCAATTTATAAGTTAATACAGTCAAATCTTTGATAAGTTATTAGCTTTCTGAATTGTGATACATATGAAGTTTAAGTCAAGAGTGAACTTTTACTCACAGTGCTAATAAGTTCTGTCTAGTGTACATGATAGATTTACATGTATTATATGCTTAGTATTTCTTTAATATATACATGTTATTATATTCAGAACAACTTCATGTACATTTATATAAGATTAAGATGTAATTTATGTATTATTGACAAATATTTTGTCAGACAGATTTATTGTTTACAGCTATTCATACATATTTTATGTAACAATAGTATATGTTATTTTTGTTTTGGAGTGATATATGTGGATATATTACCTGCTAAGATTTTATATCACCCGAGCCGTTAGGCGAGGGTGATATTTTATCCTGGCAGGCAATATATCCACATATATCACTCCAAAACCAAAATAATAATTTTATTACCCTTCCCCTGCTGAGTTTAGACGATTTTTTAAAAACTCATTGTTGTTTCAAATGAAACGTCGAAATAAGATTCCCTTTTGGGTACCCCTTCATCACAACATGACGTAACATAAATACATGACGTATTTTTCCCGTACCTAACGAATGTAAAAAAGAGAAAAGGAGTAGTCTATTGAACGCACATTTTGTAATTAATATCAAGCTTTCACAAGGTCATATTTGTTTTCAATAATGATGAGAATATGTATCATTACTCTATTTTGGTAAACATTTATCATTTGACAGTTAAAAAGTGCTTGTAAATCGGAATTTACACCGCGTAAAATCAAACCGTACGCGCATCTCTTCATCGCATGTTGTTTACAACGTGGGATACTCAACGGGGAAATTTAGTGTGTATATTACCCGTCTGGCTCGGTAATATCAATTTCTTTCGGGTGATCAATAACCAATCAAAAAGGCAGAAAAAATCTGGAAGGGTAATAAAGTGTTATATTTTATCATGATGTTAGCTCATTCATGAAACCTGTTGCAATATGGAGATTGATTTTAATTGTGCTTATAATTGGGACATCTTATATTTAGTGATAAAAAAGCTGGGAATGTGAATAAGTTTATAATATTTACATTGTATTCCCAAAATTTACATACTATCCTTAAAGATTACTATGTTCAAGTTTGAAGACAATCCATTAAAAAATAACAAAACTATAGCCACTAATAGCAAAAAAACAAGCAACATTTGGACATTTGACCTTGAAGGTCAAGGTTATTTATGGATGAAGGTCAAGGTTAGTCTGGTCTACTGAAAGGTCTTGTCCCAAGGGTTGCTGTGGCAAAGTATTAAGACAATACACCAAGAACTTAAAAAAATATGATCAAGGTACAAGTTTGCAGACGGGAATGACATGCTGACATGACTGTAACAATACCAAAATTCTTTTTTTTTTTTCAAAAACAAAGTTGAGCTAATAAAATGATGAAGAGTAAAAGGATAGCTTGGCACAGACAAAATTTTTTGTTATCTATAATTACACTGTATGTAACACATTTTCATCTTTAATTAAATTTGAAGTAATTTGTTTAGATGACTATGGGACAAGTTTATGTTGAATGTCACCAGTAAATATTGTCTTGATTATAACTATTATAACAACATTCATCATTTCTGTATTATTTGGTTGTTTTCATCATGCTTTTGTTATACATTTGCAATATTTGTCATATCAAGTGCTTTTAGAGTCTTTGATGAAAATATTCTTGATTTGCTGAAATTATCTGTAATTGTATTGGACCTTACTCGCTTACTTTTATTTGTTTTGTTTACATAAATTATGTCTTTCTTTTACCTGTACATGTACATTGTATTATTGGTTCATTTTGATTGCACATTTGTGTGATAATTTTTTTTCTTGAAGGTAAACATTAAAGTTTGAAAGCTGCATCATCATGTGATGTAAATTACTCAACTGATAATATTTCATACAGTCATATTGTATATAAATAAATCAGAGAAAACAATTGGGATATTTTACAGAAGATCATTGAGAAGCCCAAATAATTTTCATGTTTGATACATTTTCATTGGGTGTTACTGTCACAAGTTAATGAGACGGTTTTCTGTTTATACAATTATTTATGATAACATTTTGTCTCATGTTCTTGTGTTGTAAATATGCACACTTGGATATATAGTGAATAAAACTTAAATCTTGGAGATGATATATAGGTATCAATCTTCTGTTTTAGTACAATAAATGCATGGTTTGTATTCAAATACCTTATAATTAATCATTCAAGACTTTTAAACGACCACCATCTTCAAACACACTTTCAAAATTACAAAATGTAATATAAATTTCTCACATTATACCACTATGATAAAAAATGCAGTATTATTCTAGTAAGTTATTTTATGCACTTCCATTAAGGTAGAGATGTAAGAAATGTGATAAAACAAAATATAAAGAAGCACTGTTCAGTTTTCCCCAGAATATTTATTTCACAATGCTTTAGGTTTTGTACTGTAACATGTAATTGCTATACAATGATTGGTGACAAGTTTAGGGTTTTGATGCAAAAATGTTTTTGTTTTCTGATGTTACTGATTTCTTTTTATTTTTTATATCTTTAAATTGTGTAATTTTTAAAGGAGTTTGGGATTTTTTAAAAATTTATTCTGGAGTTGTTTCTGTTACTCAAAATTTTTTAAAAAATTTGATGACATTAGAAACAAATTTTTTTACTTTTTCCCTATAGATAAGAGCAGCGATTGATTTTGTTCTCTGGTCTGCATGTAAATATTTTTGTCAAAAATTAATTCTATCTTGTACAATGACGCAAGAAATTTGTTTGATAAAATTAGTTACATAATGTTTTGTTTAAGAAATAATATATCCCAAACTGTGATTTTATTGCTCAATAACATCACTGTTTGGAGTTCGGATGCGGGGAATTATATCACGAGGGCGTAGCCCGAGTGATATAATGATGCGCATCCGAACGACAAGCAGTGATGTTATCAAGCAATAAAATCACCGATTTGGATATATTATTTCGATTCTAACACGACATCAACAAATAAATGCTGCCGTACATGATAATTAGCTAAATTGCGCCTGATTTGTTTCCGTACTTATTGTCAGCGCGTTACATTTTTAGTGGTTACGTCACGTGTATAATGATTACGTCACATGTCTAAATATAGAACGTCAAACAGTGATTTTATAGCATAATAACACACACTTTCGGTTCTTCTTTGTTCAATAGGGAAAAATGCGGGTCGTGTTAGAATTAACATTATTTTAGCTGATGTTGAGGTTGTTTTATGTAAATGTTATTTTCACACTTGGGGAAATGTTAATTTTGTCTTGTATTGTTATCCATTATTAAGGAAATCCAAGTTAAATAAACTTCAAAACATGCTTAAGTTGTATTTATTTATTTACATTATAAAGACTGATCAATTATTTGTTTGAAAAGAGGCTGACCCTGTAGTTGAACTAAATCAGCTAATACATTTATGAACCTGAACTGTTATCATTAGCTTTAATTGAAGAACATACATGGCCATCTTTATACGAGCACATTAGTCATGCTCATTGGTGGGTTGTAGGCTGTAAATGAAAAGCAACTAGAAATCGTCACAAGTGCAGAATACCACCTGGCACGCGCTTGACAGAAAACATGTTTTTTAGTTAATAATTTTGCAGATAGGGAGAATACAGTAGTCTATAGGATTTTTTGAAATGTTTTTGCATAATTATTTTTCCTACATCAAGAAGATAAATTAAAGTTTTGACTTGAAGTTTTCATGACTTCTTGTAAGAGCATTTCGTTTTTTCTCCCTGCGATTTCAGCACTTTTACTCAATGAGATCTATCTACCTACATAGTTTCATGTTGAAACCTTGGCTCTCAAGTTATGTCCTGGACAAAGTTCAAAGTGTGAAAATGAACAAAGGCCAATTACTCCAAAATTAGGGAAGGGAGGGTTACGTTTCTTATGCACTGCACATCTACTCATTTAGATGTACCTGCCTGCAAAGTATCAAGTTGATACCTTTTATAGTTCTCAAGTTATGTCCCAAACAAAGTTCAAAGTGTAAAAATGTACAAAGGGCAATAATTCCAAAATTAGAGAAGGGAGGGTTACTGTTCTTATGCACTGCACTTCTACTCTGTGACATCTATATACATGTAGAGTTTTTAAGTTGATACCTTTTATAGTTCTCAAATAATGTCCGGGACAAAGTTCAAAGTTGCAAAATGAACAAAGGGCAATAACATTAGATTCGTTTCTTCACTAAAAGATGAGAATAACTTCAGCTGTTCTCTGTTATACATCTACGTGTCTTTTGATGCATTAAATTTTACATAGCGTATCACTTTAGATGTCTTTCGCGATGTACAAGTCGACTTCCAAATGTTAATTTGATATCAGTGCCTGGTGTTACAATGTCAACATTGTTGTCTGTGTTATCTGTTTCAGTTGGAATTTCCTTTGCAGTTTTTTAGCTCACCTGTCACAAAGTGACAGGGTGAGCTTTTGTGATCGCTTTTCATCCGGCGTCCGTCCGTTTTCCGTAAACTTTTACTTTAAATGACATCTCCTCATAAACCACTAAGCCAATTTCATCCAAACTTCACAGGAATGTTCCTTTGGTTGTCACCTTTGAAAATTGTTCAAAGAATTTAATTCCATGCAGAACTCTGGTTGCCATGGCAACCAAAAGAAAAAACTTAAAATATCTTCTTCTAAAAAACCAAAAGAGCTAGAGCTTAGATTTTTGGCATGAAACATCTTCTGGTGAGTGTCTACCAAGTTTGTTCAAATAAAAGCCCTGGGGTCAAAATTGGCCCCGCCCCAGGGGGTCATTGATTTTCCCTATATGCATATAGTAAAAACTTAAAAAATCTTCTTTTAAAGAACCCAAAGAGCTAGAGCTAAGATATTTAGCATGAAACATCTTCTAATGGGTGTCTACCAAGTTTGTTCAAATAAAAGCCCTGGGGTCAAAATTGGCCCCGCCCAAGGGGTCATTGATTTTCCCTATATACATATAGTTAAATCTTAAAAAAATCTTCTTTTAAAAAACCAAAAGAGCTAGAGCTAAGATATTTAGCATGAAACATCTTCTAATGGATGTCTACCAAGATTGTTCAAATAAAAGCCCTGGGGTCAAAGTTGGCCCCACCCCAGGGGGTCATTGATTTTCCATTTATACATATAGTAAAAACTTAAAAAATCTTCTTTTAAAGAACCCAAAGAGCTAGAGCTAAGATATTTAGCATGAAACATCTTCTAATGGGTGTCTACCAAGTTTGTTCAAATAAAAGCCCTGGGGTCAAAATTTGCCCGGCCCTGGGGGTCATTGATTTTCCAAATTTCCTTATATGTGTATAGGAAAAACTTAAAAAATCTTCTTTGGAAAAAACCAAATAGCTAGAGTTTAGATATTAAGCATGAAACATCTTCTAGTGATTGTCTACAAAGTTTGTTCAAATAAAAGCCCTGGGGTCAAAATTGGCCCCACCCCGGAGGTCATTCATTTTCCCTATATGTGTAAAACTATAGCAAAAATTGAAAAATCTTCTTTGAAAAAACTCAAATAGCAAGAGTTTAGATATTAAGCACGAAGCATCTTCTAGTGAGTGTCTTCAAAGTTTGTTCAAATAAAAGCCCTGGAGTCAAAATTGGCCCCGCCCCGGGGGACATTGATTTTCCTTATACGAGTATAGCAAAAACTTAAAAATCTTCTTTTAAAAAACCCGAATAGCTAGAGTTTAGATATTAAGCATGAAACATTTTCTAGTAAGTGTCTACAAAGATTGTTCAAATAAAAGCCCTGGGGTCAAAACTGGCCCTGCCCCAGGTGTGTCATTGTTTTTAACTATATGTGTAAAGAAAAAACTTTAAAAAAATCTTCTTTTAAAAATCCCAACGAGCTAGACCTTAGATGTTTAGCATGAAACATCTTCTAATGGTTGTCTACAAAGTTTGTTCAAATAAAAGCCCTGGGCTTTAAACTGGCCCTGCTCCGGGGGCCTACGTACAGGTGAGCGACTTCAGGGCCATCATGGCCCTCTTGTTTCTTCTTACGTGGGTTTCTTTTCAAAGAATGTAGCAAACTCTGCTAAACACAACTGTTCTAATATCTGTGGTCTATCAGCATACCTGTCAATTAATACAGAACATCTGTAGGGCTATCGGGAAGATGTTCTATTATCGGGAAGATGTTCTATTTGTGACAATGGCTACACGTTTTTCTTCTGGGGAGGTATTTATAAAAGTTGCACTTCTTGAGCCCTGAGTGAGAGGAAGCTGTAGCAACAAATAAACTGCTTCCTGGACAGAGACTTCATAATGGTTTAAGAACTCATTGGTGATGTGACTGACTTTCTCTCTGAGCTTGAATTTCCTTTTTTATTTACTCGGATACTCTCTGTAAAAGCAGGTTCATTCCTCGCTGTGATTTCTTTGTTACTAGCAATATACACTCAAACTCCCTAAGGATCTAGCACATACTGAAGGTCTGTGTTTGCCTTCCAGATTTTTAATACATTTAAGTTGTATGCATTCATTCTCACATCTTTCACAGCTCTTTTTAGAAGTACATGTACATGCTTCTTCAATGATGACCTAACAGCACCAAGATACTGGTCGTAGGTAAGCTCACACCGTCCAACGAATTGATCAAATTCTAGTTGTGCACCATTGGGTAGTGCTTGTAACACTTTCAGTACTTTCTTATAGTTCTGTTGGGTTGCTTTCAAAAATACCTTTTCTGTGTCAGAAGAAAATGGTTTTATTATCAAAGTTTCCTTCATTGGTGTGAGGGGAAATCCAAATCGACATATTTCTTTTCCTTTCTTCTTACATGATGGGAGTGTCGATGCTTCTGTAACTGTACGAACTGTTTTGCATCTTGTTTCTGCCGCAGAGAAAGTGGCAAAGAATGTTGGTAAGCCTAGCTGGTTGATCATGACAAACAAATCTTTTTGTTTTGTCTGATAATACGGTCGAAAGATCGAAGTGTTTTTAGAATTCGAAATCCGTCATCATGATGTAGGATGTTTTGAATGACTTCTGGTATTTTGAGTGTTTCGGCAGAATTTGAAACATTCTTAGATTTTTTGAAAGCCGTTGTAGCCAAATCTCTTACTTGTAATGCCTGTAATTTTTTAAGCTGGAAAAACATATTTGGGACGGATTTAAAGTATCTTGTATCCATATTTCTTAACTCTGCTTTACATATTAAGCTGTAAGTTACTGGTACGGTCCGTCCAATATTTTCGGTTCTTTTTTGCCACAAAACAAGGTAGGGTAAGACTTTTTCTCAGCAAAAGTGTCCATTAATAGACTGATTGGATGATTCTTTTTACCAGGCGCTATCTGCAGTGCATGAAGATCATCATCTGCAAAGTCAACGTTTTGCATCAAGGCGTCCTTGTTTCCTGCACCTGCCTGTTCTCCTCGGTCAATTCATTCCAAATATCCTCTTCAGTACTCTCCTGCTTTTCTTTGTCAGTGTCTTCTGTTTGTAAATTTTCAATATCTTCCACAGAAGAAAAGGTAATTTCTTTATTGTCCTGTGCTTCTCTATACCATTCATTTTCCAATATTACTCCCTCTTCTTTGTTTAAGTCACTATTTTCTACAAAGTACTTGGCAAAGTCATATATTACCTTTGGCGTGACTGTTTCATGATACTGCATATTTAAACTGAAGTCTCATCTTGAACTGAAGGGTTTTAGTCTCTGTTCAAATCGTCTTGGTAGCATAGACACTACACTCGAGTTGTTCATTGGTATATTAACAGTGTTTCCATAGATGCCAAATTGTTTCCCAATGCCCGGTTCTTTCAGTTGCATGAATGGGATTCTCAATGCTGTACATCACTCCTCTGTTTCTGTTGGACTAAGAGAAGATAGAGAATCTGGAAGGTATGATATTATTGATCCATTGGCAATAGCCATTGGAGGCATTCTCTCATCTCAGATGTAATTGTAACAGGTTTTACATATCCATTCTTAATTTGAAACACTCTGTTAATCTGTTAACACTTTTTCCATATACTTGGGTGATATTCCTTTCCTGATTAAACATTTTCTAATAACTGTGTAGACACTTAGCTGGTAAAAAATGTCTGTTGGCAGCTTGTACACACCGAGTCATCTCCTCTATTTAAAAGATCATTGAATTGCTGTACTTGTATTTTTAACGACGATTGGTCTGACCTTTTTCTCTGCCTTTGTTTACGGTTTAAAAGTATTCGTTCTGCATTCGATGTGACGATGTTCTCCATTTTGTTACTGTGTTCATTTTCTATTTGTACTGACTATTGCTTCGTTTACTTTTACGGTTTTCATTCCTATCTTCATTTTCGGAATGTCTACAGTCACTATTGGTTCTTTTTCAAAGA